CAACAGTATATAGTTAACTTGAATATCCTGGACTGGTTACAGTAGCACACAAATTAGGTGTCATCTCACCTCCTTAAAAAAATTAATCTGAATGTTTTCTTCCCGTTGCTATATTATGTGACATTAGGAGAAAGTCATAGTCATCACATTTTGTACTTACCTGGTCCCCATTTGAGAGTCCAAGTTTCTGACCAACTTGTCTGTTAATTTCAGCCACATTTTCACCTTGATCACTGAAATGCCTACCTTCCACCCAACTCAAGAATGCAGGCTGGTGACCCCAGGCTACTTCTATAGCTTGATTCTGTTTATTCAAGAAATAAGAAAGGGGGTGGGGAGAAGAAATAAGAAAGGAGGGATGAGAATTTTTATATGCTTTTCTAGATTCACATAAAAGATAAACTATTATTGCAACCCACACATAAAAAAAGAGTTCTACAGATGGATGGTAACTCTCTGTTGTGCACATTAGAGCATTTAAAAAGCTATAAACATTTCCAATAACCAAAGCTGGTGATGCTATGGGTGAAACCAATACCCCTTTTTTTTTTTTAAGATTTTATTTATTTATCTGACAAAGAGAAACACAGTGAGAGAGGGAACACAAGCAGGGGGAGTGGGAGAGGGAGAAGCAGGCTTCCTGCCGAGCAGAGAGCCCGATGTGGGGCTCGATCCCAGGACCCTGGGATCATGACCTGAGCCGGAAGGCAGACACTTAACAACTGAGCCACCCAGGCACCCCTCCCTTGTTTTCTTATGATGCAAATTCATTCAACCACTCCAAAATTCAAAATGGCAATAGGTAGCCAGTGAATTTACCTAAACTCTGAGCTGTGTATATATATATATATATATACACACACACACATATATATGTACTCTATCTCTATATCTTAGAGAGAGAGTATACACACACACACACACACACACACACACACACACACACACACACTTGTTCTGAATTAATGATTTGAAGAAGAAAACCACCCCAGAAGATATCTCTGCAGTATTTTCTGTAACAGTGAAAACTTAGGACTGTCTTAAATGTCTATTAACAGGGAAATTATTAAATAAGCTACAAATTTACTATTTTAGTAAAGCATGAGTCAATAAGTAGAAATATATCATGATCATTAAAAATGTAACAGTATTTGTTTATTAGAAGAGAATAAATGTACATGGTAAAAGCACAAAAATTACAAAAAATAAAAGAAGCTAGGTTCCTGTTCCCAAAGGTAATTACTGTTAATAGTTTCTTATGTACATTTCCAGAAATTTTATATTACACAGCTTCTTAAATAATTCTGAAAATTTTACAACTATGGAATTATAAGTACAAAAATCAAAATATAAAAGGTATTCCCATTAAGATCAATTATATGAAATACGTTAAGTTTGTGACTAAGGACTAAACAATGTTTTCTATGATTAAAGAATTACAAACTCATTATTGAAAACTTAAAAAGTATATAAACTTGGAAGAAAAAAGGAATTACTGATATTCCCTCCACAAGACAACCACATGAACAATTTTGTCTAGCTAATCCTGTCTTCTATGCAAAAATTTTTAAATAGTTGTATATTATAGTCATTATTTAGTATCCTTTTCCCCACTTAGCATTGTATCATAAGCTTTTGCACACATTTATCATTTTTTCAATAAAAAGTAAGGACTTCATTAATAGCCATCAAAACTTACCATCTCAGGAAGTTTTAGTATTTTGAAAGTCATTTATTTATATCAAAATAAATTCATTCATTTACATCAAACTTTACTACCTCAAAACATTATAGGCCACTTACTGTTTCTTTAAATAGGAAAAATTTCAAAGGATGTTGGAGCCATTTCTGAGGCAATATAATGTACTTTAAATTAGCCATGTTATTAAAATGTTATTAAAACTTTGTATAGAAGAAAGTCATCATGTATCACTTGTGTAATTTTTCCCACAATTCACAGTATAGTCCAACTGCTCAGGGTAACAAAACCCTTCCACCACGCACAGTGTGATGAAGTATACAGAGCCCTGGACTTGGAGTCAAATTCCAAATTAACTACGTCAGCTGTGTGTGAGCTGAGGTTACAAGGGTGAAGATGACCAACCGGCTATATGCTTTCCACACTCGTTCATCAGTCTGTGGCATATAATTTCATAAGAAGAAACTTTCGAAACCAGAGATGTTGAAATAAGGAAATACAAAATACACCCCGAAACATCAAAGAGGAGGGTTCTACCAACTCACTGGACAAGGGGAAAATCAACTTCTTGAAATAGGAAAAATACTTCAATTATTCATTTGGTCAAAACGTAGCAACCAGCTCCACAGTCATAATATATGTTCAGTTGGATTTAGTAAACTTTGCAGACTAATATGAGTCCATTTTCATGTAAAACCTTTCCCACCTGAACCACAGAACCTCAGGTAAAGAGAAGAAACCAACAGACTGAAGAGAAAGGAGCCTGCTTCTCAGGAGGTCAATCAACAAATGACTGACTACCTGCTTTTGCTTGTACCTGTGGTGCCGGTATCACCTGGAGGGAACTTTCAGGTGAAATCACAGGTTGTCAGGCCTTAGGACCGGCCAGATCCGAGGCCTGGGTTCTCCCTTGCTAACACAAAAAGAAATGACAAGTCTGTACCTGGCCATTTCTGGAGGGCGATTTAGGTTTATCTGTCTGCATTCAGTGTGGATGTGAATCCTTTCCCCCATTTCAGCAATCACAGCAAGCACTGAGCCCAGCATACAGACAAAATAACTGAGTTAAAGCAATGGTTCTCAACGAGGGGCGTTTTTTTGTTCCGCAGGAGACATCTGGCAACGTGTGGAGACACGTGGAGACGTGGGGTTTTTTTTGGCTATCACTACTGAAAAGGAGGTGTGCTACTGGCATCTAGTGGACAGAGGTCAGAGATACCGTTAAATATCTTATAACACCCATCAGTCCCCCACAACAAAATATTATCCAGCCTGAAGTGCCAAGGTTAAAAAATCCTGAGTTAAAGCATCTACTGGGTATCCAGTCCTGAGATAAGGACCTGGATAAGCAAAAGACGATACTTGAAACACAGAGTACAAGTGAGATGTGCCACATAAACACAACAGTGAAGTTTCAAAAAGGAGACAAATGTGAACAACCCAGAATTTGAAAGCTAGGCGGAGGAGGTAAGATTATGCTCAGCTTTTGAAGGCATGAAATGAAGAAAAACGTTTTGGGGAGAAAGAACAGCATGAGTAAGAGTACAGAAGTAGGAAGGAGCTGGGTTATGAAAGGAAACAGTGAGAAGGCCAGTCTGGATGCCGCAGAGTAAGAGACAAGAGGACAAATTACCTGGAAATGGTACCTGCCTAGGAGTGCAAGTTTCCTAACACGAGAAAGTACAGAAATGATCTAGATACCGCAGGTCCCTTTCGCCATCAACATTCTATGATTCTGTAATAGTAGGTCTCAATTGTTGTGCATCCAAGTAGCCCAAAGATATTTTTTAAATTACAGATGACTGAAGCTCACTCCCCAAGATTCTGATTCAATAAGTCCAAGAAAGGACCAGAACATTCGTCTTTTGAAAAGTTTAAAGGTAAATCTGACACAGCCCAGGAAACTATTCTTCTAACCCTCTTCCCATTACAGCATTATAGGTATTATGTACTCCATGCTTCAGCCCAAATAAAACAATTTAACACATTAACTCCCAACTCATGACTTCCTGCTTTAATAATTACCTATGCCCTCTAAACCAATAATGCTAGGGGGAAAATAATCTAGAAAAATCGTTCCAGAAAAGTGGAAAGGGAGGATACTTAAAATTAATGTAAACTCTTAAATATTTCCTGCATGATTAGCCAGTGGTGGGTACCATGCATCCAGGATTTCAAATATTCTATCCCTTTGCCCGCATAAGCATACTCAAACTCAGAGACTATGTGCTTCTATTTCTAGTTATGAAAGTGCAGATGCTGTATCTCTTTTAATAATTAATTAGAAGGGTAACGGCAGAGGTTCAAGTATCCTACCTATGTACTTCCAAATATGCAAAATTCTGCACATTGCTGGTACACCTCGGAACTGTTCCAAACATCAGCGACACAGGGAAGAACCTTATTTTATTAACCTACCCCGCTGGGGGGACACGATGCTCAGTCCCTGTTAACGTACCCTGTTAACTTACTGGGACTCTGCAAACCAAATCTGCCCCTCCCTCTGGAGGCCGGGACGGCAGCCGTGCAAGCACCTGGAAATCACTAGCGAGAAAAACTTTTTTTAAAATAAAAATAAAGATTAGCGAATTCCCAGGAGCTTTTCCAAACTGGAGAAATATTTCCGAATGCAGACGTAGAATATTAGGATGCTTGAAAGCCCAGTCTCACCGAGTGAAAACACCTGAAACAGGGCAAGTTAAAGGCCCAGGGCTGCACTAAACGTGGTGTGGGCTGCAGAGCCTGTCCCCGCCGGCCTTGCCCTCGAGCGGCCCTCAGTCTGGCCTCTGAACGGCTCGGTGGCGACGAAAGGCAGCCCGTGCCACGCCGCCCCGAGAGGCTTGAGGGCCGCCGCGTCCCTAAAAGGTCTTGGCCCCGTCCGACCCATGGCTGCCAACCAGGTGTCCCGAGTCTGGGCTGGGAGCCCCCGTCCAGGGCCGGCGCGTTACCTGCAGCAGGTGCAGCTGGGCCACGAGGCGCCGCGGCAAGTGGAGGAAGCAGTCGCGAGCGTTGGTGAAGACCACAGTTACCGCTACCCCACCACCCTCTGCACCCGCTAGGCGATCGCTGCCCCACATTGTGGAGGAGCGGGGAGCAGCCCCCAGCCGTCCACTCCAGCGGACGCGGGCCACTAGGCCGACCGAGGGCGTCGGAGCCAGAGAAGATCGATCGGCCCCGCCCCCTGCGGCCCCGCCCCTCCCGCCGCGCGCGCCCGGACGAGGAGGGGCAAGCAAGCTGCTCCAGCTCTCCGAGGTCTCTCCGCCAGGCCGCTGGAGGGCGGCACCTCGTTCACCGAAGACTCACTCACAGGAAACGATGCCCGACACTGTCGATTCTCCAGCCAACCCTGGCACGTCTTGACCCATCGTCCTCTCTTATTGGGTGAACAGGAATGCGGCGAGCCGGATGTTGTCGTTTTTGCAAGGGCCAAAATAGGCAAGATGGCGTCGAGTGGCGGGGAGCTTGGAGGCGTATTTGACCACCACGTCCAGAGGGCTGTATGCGACACGCGGGCCAAGTATCGGGAGGGGCGGCGGCCTCGTGCTGTCAAGGTAAAGGGATTTTGGTTTCATTCGCTGTTCCTGATAGCTTTATCTTAGCTCTAGCTCCACATGCCCAGTTTATGTAAATAGAGGCTTGAAGGGCTGCGGTCCTGTCCATCAGTCATTGGAGATGGGTATGAGAAAGTGGTACTCAGTGACCAAAGATTCTCACGAACCCTTTGGTCAACTGCTATAACGTCAGCTCCGGAAGGACAGGGCTTTGTTTTAGTCATTGTATCTTCCGTGTTTACAGTAGTGCTTGGCGCATGGGAAGCACTCAGTGAATCTTTGTTATCTCTCTCTAGTAATTTCTTCTGAGCCAACTTCTGCAAAATATGTCGATTGAAGATAGTCTGTGTCTTAATTAGAGGCCTTCACACGGAAGGGTGAACTTATTCTTTTTTTTTTCTGCAGACCGGTTGAACGGAATGTTTCTTCTTTTCAGAGCTTTTAAGTTTTTAATTTTAATTCCAGTATAGTTAACATACAGTGTTATATTAGTTTCAGGTACAACGTAATGATTCAGCAATTCTGTACATTACTTAGTGCTCGGCATAAGTGTAGTCTTTAATCCCCAGAGCTTTTTTTTTTTTTTTAATAGAAGATATGTCTTACAATTATCATATGGTTTCACTTATTTGTGGAACATAAGGAACAGCATGGAGGACATTAGGAGAAGGAAGGGAAAAATGAAGGGGGGAAATCAGAGGGCAAGACGAACCATGAGACTATGGACTCTGGAAACAAACAGGGTTTTAGAGGGGAGGGAGGTGGGGGGATGGGTTAGCCCGGTGATGGGTATTAAAGAGGGCACTCCTACACAAACAATGAATCGTGGAACACTACATCAAACACTAATGATGTAATGTATGGTGACTAACATAACATAATACAAAATTATTAAAAAAAGAAGATATGTCTTAGGTTTATTTGGAAAATACATTTTTGTGTGTTTGCATTTCTTTTAGGTATATACAATCAATTTGGAATCCCGGTACTTGTTAATACAAGGAGTTCCTGCAGTGGGAGCAATGAAGGAATTAGTTGAGCGATTTGCTCTATATGGTGCAATTGAACAGTATAATCCTCTAGATGAATACCCAGCAGAAGACTTTACAGAAGTTTATCTTATTAAATTTATGAATTTACAAAGTGCAAGGTAATGTGCAAGTTAAGCGTAAATTTCATTTCCTCCATTCCCATTGCTATCACTTTGGCCCCAGTTGTCCCTTATTCATACCTGAATTACTCAATAACCTGACATGGCCCTATATTATTTTTATCTTACTCCAGGCTCAAATGTCATTCCCATGCTTAACAGCCTTTGGTCATGTATTGTGGTAGATTAAAAAATGGGTTTGGGGTAAGTTTTCAAACTCCACTGCTTACTAAAATCACGACTTTGGACAAGTTATTTAACCTCAGTAAGCCTGTTTTTTCTGTTCTATGAAATTTGTACGGTGAAAGGACCTATCTTGGGGATTGTGTGGGGATGGTATGAGATAATCCATGTAAAGGGGCTAAATGTAGTGCCTCCTATGTTCAGAATGCAGTAAACATTAGCTATTGAAGTTCTTAATGTTATGCACCTCTGTGAATTGACCTAATCTTTTCCAGCTTTCTGTGTAACAAATTCTCTGCTTCAGTAAGGCTCAATCTAGTTTTACGTTGACCCCATGCTTGTCACTAATTTGATCCAAGACCCATCCTTCTTTGGCTATTACCATTCATATTTTTTCTTTTTTTTAAGATATTATTTTTAAGTAATCTCTACACCCAAAGTGGGGCTCCAACTTACAACTCCGAAATCAGGAATTGCATGGCCTACCGACTTAGCCAGCCAGGTGCCCCATCATTTATATTGTCTTTCTGTACTACAAATAGCACTTGCGGTCTGCCACTTGATTTTATGGGGTCATGTATTGTTCTCAGTTTGCTCTCATATGTAATCTCACTTTCCCTAACCAACTTGCCTGCCCCTCACGGGGCATATTTTCTAGAGCTTTTGCATCTCCTGCGGCATGTAGTACAGTAGGCTGTGGAGTTGAACATCTCAGTTTGAATCATAGTTCCACAAACTAGTGTGAGCATGTTATAAATCTCCCTAGGCCTCAGTGTCATCATATAGTTTTTATGAAACGTTAATTCACTTAGGGCACTACCTGTTGCGTGGTAAAATCTCAGTAGGTATTTTTAGCATTATCTCTGGGCACAAAAGTACTTAAGTATTTTTTGTAGTATAAGGGCTGGCTGCTTATCTATATTTAATAAGTATTTGTTGAATATCATCTTCTAACTTTCTCATTGATTAATTATGTATTCAGTATTTACTTAATTATTGAAGATTTTACGATTACAATATTATTTTTATTATGTATGAATCCCTTTGTGCCGAAAAGGCTAAATTGGGTATGAGCTAACTCTTAAGGGCCATTTAACACAGAGAGATCTCTATTTCACGACCACAGATTGTGTACCTCAGGTTAACTGCTGGCTCCTAAGTTAATTAAAGGGAGTCTGGTTATGTGTGGATGACTTAGCTCAAAACCTGTTAGCCCTGTAGGGAGAGGGGATGAAAGGCTCAAAGAGTATGCACCAGATCAGTAGAGTCAGTACCATCCACAAGTAGAACATCTTAACTGCCAAACAATAGGATGTATGTACACATAGCAAAACCTGAACTTTGCTCTTTAGATCAATGCATTGTATACTAGTTCAGCTTTCATCCTAAGTAAATCAAGATTAATAAACCATGCTATCATGTATTTCTGTTTAGGACAGCCAAGAGAAAAATGGATGAACAGAGTTTCTTTGGTGGATTGCTTCATGTGTGCTATGCTCCAGAATTTGAAACAGTTGAAGAAACTAGAAAAAAATTACAGGAGAGAAAGGCTTATATAGCAAGAACTGCTAAAAATAAAGGTATGGAAAGCCAGTTACTAAACACCTATGTGTCAGGCACTCTGCTAGGTATATCATCATGGAGCTCCCAGTCTAGTGGAAAGAGAGGCAGATAAATGATCACAATATTCAGTAACTGTAAACTGCAGGATTCTGTGCAACACTCTTAAGTAATCTGGGCTGGAAAGGGAGAGATGTTGGTTTGTGGAAGAGTTCCTACAGGATGAGAAAGGTGGCCACTGAGTTTTGAAGGATAAGTAGACATTACTCAGAAGGGGAGAGGAAGCGATGGGAAGGTAGGCCAAGTAGCATGAATAAATGAGCATCATGTGGTTGAAGGAACATGAATAGCACAGGATAACCACAACACAAGGGCTGCAGTGAGAAGTAAGATTAGAAAAGACAGGAACTGAATCACGAAGGGCCCTGTATCCCATGCTAAGGAATTAAGGCTTGACCTAAAGGCAGTGAGAAACAATTATGATTTATTTGCACACTAGTTACCAGCTACCAATCTAAAACTGCTAAATTTGGGGGCGCCTGGGTGGTTCAGTTGGTTCAGCGACTGCCTTCGGCTCAGGTCATGATCCTGGAGTCCCGGGATCGAGTCCCACATCGGGCTCCCTGCTCAGCAGGGAGTCTGCTTCTCCCTCTGACCCTCTTCCCTCTTGTGCTCTCTCTCTCTCATTTTCTTTCTCTCAAATAAATAAAATCTTAAAAAAATAAATAAATAAAAATAAAACTGCTAAATTTGGAAAAATTCTACTTTTTACCAGCAGCTGGCCACGTGCCCCATATTCCCAGCTGAGTTTCCCTAGACACAAATTCCAGGTGCCTGGAATAGGGTCAAGGATTGTAGGAACAGAACACTCAGAATTGGACTAAAATAATGTACGTGGTCTGAAATCTGAATAATACTGGAGGCTCAGATTGTCAAACTTCCGCCCTTTAGTTGAAGGACAGTCAGTGTCCATATAGTTATTGAATATGACGATTTTATGACTGATTGGGGAAGGGTGTGTGGCAGAGGTGAAGAGAGAAATAAGGTGGGAAGACTTTTGGAAAACTTACCTGAAAATTTGGCAAGAGAGCTGTTGAGAGTCCCTCGTCATTAGTAGACATTGAACATTAACCTGTGAGATATGTGAATAGCTCCAGGAAAACTTTTATGGTTGTATAACAAATAAAAAACAAAATATGGGTCCAGCATATTGCCGCCTTTAAAAACAAACACAAACTAAGCAGTATATACATTCATATAGTAGAATACTCCAAAGCTGTGAGAAAAAAAAAAAGCATTCAATGTAATGACCTAGAAAAAACCTCTAAGATCTACAGTTAAGTGGAAAACGCAAAGGCACAGAGAAATGGATATTATGGAAGAAAAAGAGGAGTAGGTGGGAGGGGGAAAAGTGAGACATACTGGGCAGATTAAATAAGAAAGTAGGGATTACTTATGGAGGAGTGGAAACCAGGCATATGAGGGGCAAAGAAAGCGAAGCTTGACACTAATAAACACTCTGTCCTTTTTAGCTTTTAAACACATGAAGGTATTGGCGGCTCAAGAAATAAATTTTTCAGGGTAGCATTTGTTAACATTTTAAAGTAATGTTCTTAAAATTACACATTTCTGAATGATGGAAACAATAAATGAACTATTTTTTTTCCTCTTCTCTCACCTTTTAAATTGTAATATAAAGATCATTACATGACAAAGAAGAAACTGGTTACAGAGCTTAAAGACACAAAAGATTTTAGACAGGACTTCCATTCAGGGACATCTGGATTTTGTGCAACCACGCAGAACACTTCTACTGGCAACTCAGATCCTTGTCTTCCTTATTCTTGTGAATTGCCTTTATGTTATTTTTCCTCAAAATGTGCATGTTCATCAGGGCAGCATATGGACAGGGCATTAAACTTCTCTCAGGATGGTAGAAACCATGCTGAAACAGTGGAACATTGTATGTACAATGACTCTTTGCAGAAGATACAAATGAAACCTTTTAAAAATTCGTTCGCTTGCCCTGGTGCACAGAAGGCTATTACTTCTTCAGAAGCAGTTGACAGATTTATGCCTAGGACAACACAACTGCAGGAGCGGAAAAGAAGGAGAGAAGATGACCGTAAAATTGGAACTTTTCTCGAAACAAACACGAGTAGTAATGAGGTTATGATTGGGCCTCTGTTACCAGACATACCTAAAGTGGACATGCATGACGACTCGTTGAATACAACAGCGAATTTAATTCGGAATAAACTTCAAGAGGTAAGATCATTTTTAAAAAACTTTTAAGGGCGTCTGGGTGGCTCAATCCTTAAGCGTCTGCCTTCGGCTCAGGTCATGGTCCCAGGGTCCTGGGATCGAGCCCCGCATTGGGCTCCTTGCTCAGCGGGGAGCCTGCTTCTCCCTCTGCCTGCCTACCTGTCTGTCTGCTTGTGATCTCTCTCTCTTTGTCAAATAAACAAAATCTTAAAAAAAAAAAAAAAAAACTTTTGAGAGACCGTTTGGTCATAGGGACTAACAGCTAAATGGAGATTTGTGGCAACTAAACTATTATCATTAATTTTCTTCATTTTTTTTAAGATTTATTTATTTATTTATTTGACAGAGAGAGAGAGAGAGACAAGAAGAGAGGGAACATAAGCAGGGGGAGTGAGAGAGGGAGAAGCAGGCTTCCCGCTGAGCAGGGAGTCTGATGCGGGGCTCGATCCCAGGACCCTGGGATCATGACCGGAGCCAAAGGCAGATGCTTAACGACTGGGCCACCCAGGCGCCTCATTGATGTGTTTTTCTATAGTTCTCTGTTGAAGTAACTGAATCTAACAAATGTATGTGCTTTGATGTCATTAATCCTTGCCTTAAACAATGAACATAACATATTTTATATCATTCTAGATCTAAAATAAAAAGCAGTGGTTTTAGTCAGTGAGGTCAACCTGTGAGAGTGGAGGCCAGGCCCTCTCTTTTTAAAGCTCTCCAGATGGTTCTGTTATGAGCCAAAGTACAGAACTATTGTGTTGAAGGAAAATTATTACAACTTATTTCTCTCAAGTTCAAAGTTATTACAAATTACATCAAATTAAAATGCTTTTTGCTTCTTTGATAAAAGTAGCCATAGAATAAGGTGAGATTTCTAAAGACTGGGCCCTAAGGTCTGCACTTCAAAATGTCAACTTCTTAAATAGATTACAGCTTCATTGTTCTACTTAAGTAGTAATTTCTTTTTTTTTTTTTTTTTAAGATTTTATTTATTTATTCATGAGAGACAGAGGGAGAGAGAGAGAGAGAAGCAGAGGGAGAAGTAGGCTCTCAAGGAGCAGGGAGCCTGATGCAGGACTCGACTTAACGACTGAGCCACCCAGGCGCCCAATTAAGTAGTAATTTCTTTACACGTTATTTATGTAATCATTTTCCATTTTCTAAGTACAAATGAAAGAAAGCTAACATTTGAATTCGCTTTTGAAAGATACCTGTTTATGGGGCAAGCCGTTTAGAAATCTAATTGAGGGAGAAAGACCATTCTCCTAAACTTTAACTCTGAGGTTCAGAAAGTGCTTTTCATGCAGTTGTATATGTATTTTACAGTGTGATGAAGGGAGTCTAAGGTGGCTTAATTTATGTGTATTTTTGTTACCTGAAAATTATTACCTGATTAAGGGTGAGGCCTTATTTTATAATAATAAAAATCTGTGAACACAATTTCCATACTTAAGCCTCTTTAAATTTTTTAGTTTGTGCTGGCCCCCTTCCTTCCTTCAGATAGAGTTGAACTGAGGCATAGATGCAGATACATAGCTCTCTCAGCCAGAACTGACTATATTTTCAAGAAAAAAAGTTGTTGGGGACGTCTTGGTGGCTCAGTCGGTTAGCGTCTGCCTTCAGCTCAGGTCCCAGGGTCCTGGAATCGAGTCCTGCATGGGGCTCCGTGCTCCTTGGGGAGCCTGCTTTTCCCTCTGCCTGTGCGCTTGCCCACACTCTCTCGCTCTCGCACGTGCTCTCTTTCTCTCTCTGACAAATAAAAAAATCTCAGGGGAAAAGAAAAAAGTGGTTAGGTCCAATTCCTAGATAAGGAAACAGTAGAACAACAAAATTGAGAAAAATTAACTACAACTTACCACAGTTTCTAATAATTGTGCATCTAAATGAAGACTGTCATACTCTGCTTTAACTCATTGTCCACTCTTTTTCTGATGGTGTGTTTGGTTTCCCTTCCCTAGGAAATTGAGGATTATACCATTTTCTGCTTATTTCTCCAAATTTCTCATCTCCCCTCTCAAGGCTCCATGTCTCTAAATACATCAAATGTTATTAGTGTTTCGAGTTACGCAGAATCAGGATGTCTGTCTGTCTGTATCCATAAGATAGCAAGTGACTTCAGATCTATATAGGATTGTTAATGTAGAGTATGTATTTACATTTCTCTCTTCAGTTTTTTTTTCTTCTAAATGGCTTTAGAAATTTTACTCCCGTCATGTTTGGACAGAAAACTTTGTGCCTAGATCGTATGCTGTACCCTGAAATTGGGCTCACTCTGCCTCAAACGTGAGGGCAAGAATTGGATTACTAGATGTATATCCTACCTCTTCTTTTTTATTTATTTATTTATTATTTTATTTATTTTTAGCATTTTTTGTTTATTATTATATCCTATCTCTTCTAGTAGTTTACTTATTCTTGTACTATAAAAACTAATTTTGGTGGTTCTTTTTTTTTTTAAACTAGGTCATTTCATCTGTGCCAAAACCTCCGGAAGACAAGCTAGAAGATGTGCATACAAGTCGTCCATTAAAGCAAAGAAGAAGAATATAGACTGTCAGCAGCAAATTCTGTTTTCTACAGGACTCTTTATTTTTTATTTTTAGCCTGTCGTTTTAATTGTTGAAGAGATTATACTGCTGGTATTTTTTAATGCACTCCTCTTTGTAATATTATCCAAGGTACTTATAAAATTTCATTTTTTAAAATAAGTTTATCATGGACAAAATAGATGCCAGCCAAATATGTTCCTTAAAAAAAGAAAACTAAACTTTTCCAGGAGCTCCACCCAGTGACTTTGGTTACATCTTTTTGGCTAGAAGTGGGCTCGTGGCCGTTCCTAAACAGGGGAAGTCTGGCATTGTGAATGTTTACGTTTCCAACTTCTGTGGATAAGGAAGCAAGAGAAAAGAGGGTTGTAAAAGGCTTATTCACAGTATTTGCCACAAGAACCAAGCTTGTTGGCTAACTTAAAAAATAAAATTAGTTTATCATTACTTATTATAGGTGTTATTTTGATCATACTTAATATTGCAGAAACTGGGGATGCCTGGGCAGCTCAGTTGGTTAGGTGTCTGCCTTCAGCTCAGGTCATGATCCCAGGATCCTGGGATCAAGTCCCGCATCAGGCTCCCTGCTTCTCCTACCTGCCTCTGCCCCCTGCTTGTGCTTTCTCTCTCTCTGACAAACTAATAAAATCTTAAAAAACAAAAGTTACAGAAACTGTTCTTTTAATATTACTTTCCACATCGTAGTAGTTATATGTAAATGAAGTGAAGCAAAGATAAAAACTTTACAATGCAAATGAAGATAAGCAGTCAGGTTCTGTTTCTGATTTTAATATAAGTATTGAGTGATTCACATTCCAAAACTAGAAGTCAGGATATGTCCGAATGCCAGTGTTTCAAAATCAATACAATTCTGTAAAGTAAAAAAGGTAAACTATTAGAACAAAGCTGAAATTAAAAGCCTACATTCTTCAGTTAACTTGTAAGAAGAATTTGCTTATCTTGGCAGAAATGAATCTGTATTTGTAAATGCTAGACTGCTAACCACTACTTTTAGCATACCCACGTTGCTTTTCCTGTCAGTGAATCACATAATTGGAAATTGGAACAAGTATGTTCAGGCTGTTGCCATTTTTTTTTTTTTTTTACTGATAAAAATAACTTGAGAAGGCCCATACCAAATGGTGGTCTGTTTTTCTTTTCTCTCTATACCTAAAGACCTCTTGCCTATTGGATTGAATTTGAATGTACCAGTTAGGAAGGTTCATCATCAGTTATGACCTACTGATACAAACTTGCTGGGATGGCTCCAAGTGGTGGATGGTTTTAAAAAGAAGCTGCAGGCAAGGGGTTTGGCTTTACTTCCTTGTAAGGTAATTAGATATTTTTCTCTGCTGAACTGTAAAAGACACCTGAGAGACCCAAGCATAGAATTGGGAAGAGCAAGTTACTGTCTAGAACATACTTCTCAGACATTAAGATGCTATGAATCTCTACCTCAGGGCCTTATTAAAACGCAAATTCTGATGGTAGTGGCCAGGAGGTGGAGGGTGGTGGGAATACAGAATTGTTTAAAGGTATAGAGTTTCAGTTTTGCAAGATGAAAAGAGTTCGAGAGACTGTACAACATTGTGAATGTACCTGAAGTTACTGAACTGTATGTTGTTTTTTTTTTTTAAGATTTTATTTATTTATTTGACAGAGAGACAGCGAGAGAGGGAACACAAGCAGGGGGAGTGGGAGAGGGAGAAGCAGGCTTCCCGCGGAGCAGGGAGCCCGATGCGGGGCTCGATCCCAGGACCCTGGGATCATGACCTGAGCCGAAGGCAGACACTTAACGACTGAGCCACCCAGGCGCCCCCTGAACTGTAGGTTTATAATTAGTTAAGACAGTACATTTTATGTTAGATGTATTTTACCACAATTAAAAAAAAATTCTCAGAGGGAGAATTTTTAAATTCTTAAAGGGAGGAGCTGCTCAGTGGGTTCTGTGTTGTTGAATGGATTTCTGATCTTTTCAGGATCTTTTCAGTGACTGTGTGGAGGCTAGTGTGCCTCCCCATCCCCACCAACATACACAATATTTGACCACAATAACAGGAAGTAGAACCTTTGCTGTGTCAAGCATCAAAAGGAAGGAAGGAGGGAGGGAGGGAGAGGAAAGGGAGAGGGGAAGGAAAAAGGAAGGAAGAAAAAAAAAAGATTCTGAGGCATTTGGTTTGGGGTGGGGCCTGAGATTTTACATTTCTCACATGTTACTAGGTGATACCATTGCTGCTCATGCACAGACTACACTGAGTAGCAAGGCTCTGGATAACTGGGCTGCTGAATTCTGGGAATTAGTTGGTGTTCCATCTGACCTAAGTAGTTTCTCCATTCCAGTCCATTCTATACTGTTCCCCATCAGTCTCAAAATGAGAAGTCTGCCTTTCACACATTGCATTTTACCACATATTTCCAGGCAGAATTAAAATGTGGGAATAGGGGCGCCTGGGTGGCTCAGTTGGTTAAGCGATTGCCTTCGGCTCAGGTCATGATCCCAGGGTCCTGGGATCGAGCCCCGCATCGGGCTCCCTGCTCAGTGGGAAGCCTGCTTCTCCCTCTGCCACTCCCCCTGCTTGTGTTCCCTCTCTCTCTGTCTCTCTCTCTCTGTCAATTAAATAAATGAAATCTTTAAAAATAAAATAAAATAAAATGTGGGAATAAACCACAATGGGACAAATTAGAGAAATGAGCTGAGATAGCTCAGGAGAGCTTAACATCATGCAATTTCATGCACAAAATTGCCATCCAAATTACTACAGAGAATAAAAAGTTTCTACAGGTTTGCAAAGCAGTTGATCAAAGGAAGAATTAAAGAAAATATTAATGTGTCAAATCAATTATTAGGCTGGCTCTTCTGGCTCAGAAAACTTGTGTCAAATTCATCAATGAAAAACCTTCATGAGCACAAATACTATAAAGTACTTTAAATGTGTCCAAGATTTTTAAAACTTAATTATTCTCAATGTTTGACAACATTTGGGTTGAAAGAGACCAAGTTTTGTCCTAGCAGTTTATGGTGGGTACTTGCTGAATACACTGTTCAGTGTTCTATCCCTTAAGCAAACCAATATACCCTAGTTTTCTTTGGGAAAATGATATTAACATAAAAGAAATCAGGAATTGTGTATAAGCTAAAGAAGTTACAAGCTCAAAAAGTCTGTTGAATATAATAAATAGTCATTATTGTTGGGCCCCACAGCATTAGGATGGAGCTGAGACCCTCATGTTTGCCTGAACTGCAGCAGTGTGCCAAAACCCCTACAGAGGTGAGTTGTCTAGCAAGTACTACTTTCTGATCCCTTAAAATTTTCTCTTAACCAATTTGAGCTGTTGGCACTGTACCTTTGCTTCTGGTAAACATGGTCCAAACACCTCCAACAAAAGTCTCTCTTCTTTTACTGCCTTTTCAAAGTCTGCAAAAGATATTTTGCCATCGTTGTCATAATCCTAGAGAGGAAGGTGATTTCTTGATAAATGATAGTTTTTAATTATGCCTGGAAAATAACTCTTTGCCAAGTAAAATTATTAGTTACACTTCTGTGGACACTACTTATGTAAATCAAAAGGTACTTTTTATCAAGGCTACTTATCTTATTCCTGTAAGTCTATTTGGAATACCTGGTATTATGGGCTGAATGTTTGTGTCCCTCCTGCCTCCGAATTCACATGTTAAAGCCCCCAGTGTGATGATTTTGGAGGTGGGGTCTTTGGGAGGTAATTAGATTTGGATGTCTTGAAGGTGGACCTCCCAAGATATAATTACTATCCATGTAAGTGGAGAGAGACCAGAGCTCCCTCTTTCTGCCATGTGAGGACACATTGAAGTGGTGGCTGTCTACAAGCCAGGAAGAGAGCCCTCACCATGGAAGTGAATTAACTGGCACCTTATCTTGGATTTCCCAGTCTCAGGACTTTTTAAAATTTTATTTTTAAGTAATCTCTACACCCAACATGGGGCTTGAACTTACAACCCTGAGATCAAGAGTTGCATACTCTACCAGTTGAGCCAGCCAGACGCCCCCCGCCCAACCCCGCAGTCTCAGGATTTTGAGAAATAAATTCCCGTTTAAGTCACCCAGCCTGGTATTTTGTTATAGCAGTCCAAGAGGACTAAGACACCTGAGTTACTTTAGATACATAAAATATAGCCCTGTCCCTAAAGGACTTGCACTCTAATTGGGGGAATAAGAAAAATAGAGGACACATATTATTATATTGCTACTTTTGTGATTAAAAACAGTGCCATAGGGCAAAGATTTTCAATTTTAATTTGTAGTAGTAGAACTTGTTCCTCAAAGGATTTCTGACTTGGGAGCCCATCATGTGAAAAGGATAAAAGTGAAGTTGCAAAAAAAAAAAGTGAAGTTGCTCAGGTAAGGAGCAAGGCACTGAGAGCAGTAACAGCTCAGGATGGACTAGAATCATGAAAAGATGCTTGCAGACCACTGGGAGGTCTTTCAGGATGGTTGAGATGGCCTTTAGGTAGCCAGAGAGGTATGGGGAGGAAATGCAGAACAATGGCTCAACCTGAATTCTGACAATATGAGGGAGTGTAAGTCAGGAAGAAGACAGACCTGCCTGGCGCATTAATGACAGGGACTCTGGGAGATTAAACAGGGGGAGACCATGTATGTAAATTATAAATGCCTTTACTTAATTGAATTTGGGTTTGATTTGATGGGCTCTTGTTTTTTCACTTCTGGGCATAACTAAATCAGGGTTGCTGAGAGTCTAACTTAGAGAAACGTTTGAATAATTATCAGAAAAAATTCACTCCATAATATTTCTTTTCAAAAAAGGAGGGAGTGGGTTTAGTACTGGGAAACATACTATCTCTCAAGAAGTCTACCCTGAGCCCTAGCAGCAGCTAGTGAGAGTATCTCTAATGGAAGAAGATATGCTAGAGTCTGTGTTAGCTGAAGGCGAGACTCAGCAGCCCCCATCATCTATTTCTTTCCTGATCCACTGAAGAGTAATGGAGGTGAGCTGGGTCCAGGCTGCCTTAGAGTCACAAATTTTCACTGGTATCCAGGATGGGGTCATAGTAAGAGGAGAGAAATTACTGTGTTCATAATAAAGTGGTACTATTGGTTTCATTGAAAGAATTCTGCACCCCATTTTCTAGTGTGACCTTGGGTAAACCTATTTGTACTTCAGTTTTCTCATCTGTAAAACAGAGATCGTAATTTCTACTACATAGGGTTGTTTTAAGGTTAAAATGAGTTCATATATTAAAGTCCTGTGAAGGGTCTGGCATATAGTAAGTACTCTATAAGGGACAACTATTTCAATTATTATGTTATCTTGTTATAGTGTTTCAATGGATTGGAGGGCGAGGGTCATGAAGACAGGTGAGAGTAGCATCCCATTTTACACAAATCAAATCTGGTGCACTACCACCCACACATTAATGAGGTTTTACGGATAGTAAAACACTTTAAACT